AGTTCTTGGGTGGAACATCATCTCAAGTAACTCAAAAGAGTTGGCAATAAGTATTCAAATCTTAATTCCTTGCTTAAAGTGTACACATGAAATCAGCACTCATTAAAGGACATATTAAAGTCTTAGTAACAGCTAGTATTAACCTCACCACCAAAAAAAGGATTTATCAGTCTACCACCCCTTTCTGACTAATGGAACAGTCCCAACAGACAACCAACCTATCAAATGCCAGATCAAATTTCTGGCATCTACTTCAGATTTTAGAGCAAGACTTTGCTGCAGCATCCAATTCTCTGGTCAAGTTAGACCAAAATATTTTCGTCAGAATGATGAGTCCCTTTTGGGTACAAAAACCCCCAGGGCCACGTCTAGGGTCAGAGGTTACATAAAGAGGGAAATCTCAGACGGGCCTCAAAATAAAATCTGACAACCCACAAGGGGGTAGGGTTTCATGGGCCCTGTTTGGAATAAAATAATGTCAAACTCATTCAGAAAGGATCCGTCTCAGTAACCCTAGAAGATATGAAGAATAATTATTTCAATGCCCGATCCTAGCTGACTGAATGTTTCCTTTTTCCAAGAACTGCCCATATTGGCTCAAGGAGTATCTCTGTGCCAGGCAATAAAGTTATCAGCACAAATTCCTTCTGCAAATTCAAATCTCCCTTAGGTCCATTCGAATCAATCGCTTTCAATTTGAAATATTGATCTAAAAACATCACAGTCATGAGAGGTACAATCACTTATGTAACTATAATGGTTATCTCAATTTTCAGATTGCAAAGGAACAAACAGAAGAATGTTTCAAGTTTTGATGCTGCTTCACCCCTTAGGTTAACATTGAATTGTGCATGAGCCCAGAGGACAAATTTCACTGGGGTTGAAGAGCATCAGTGAAACAAGAACCAGATTTGGTACATGCCAAGACCTTACCACATGAACTGACATTTCCTTCATTGGACTCACCTTGATCCTAACTAATGCAGCCCAGCCTAACATTTTAGAGTCCTCCCGACTCATGTTGTTATGCCTTATCATGCAAGGATGCTCCTGCTAATCTCCAAGCAGATGCTAAGCCATAAAATCATGCCATCTTTTCTGACTGACCAGGATTCTTATCAGCCACTACCCCAACTGTCAGAGAAGCCTGGCCAGTCTTAAACCCAACATCTGCTTGGAGGTACCGGTAATGCTGATTGTGTCACATCGTAAAAACATCAACCTGTTTTGGGTACCTTTTTTGTGGTGCACTTCATTCAGTAGCTACGTGTCACAGTATTGCTACCATCTACATGTACAAAATGTATTACCATTGTCTGATTCCATCCATTATGACCACAAACAGGACTCAAATTCCTCCTCTTTAAAAATTAAAACCATAAGAGATCTGAGAGTACACAGCTGACACCCTGGCATGTTTAAGCTTAAGTCAAGACGACAGAGTCAGTTAAGGTTACTACGCTGTGGACTGCAAGAGCCAAAATTCAAAATACAGAGATAGCGGCTGCATGAGTGTTGTTTCCATTTTAGTTTGTTTAACTTTTTCACCTGCTGCCCGACCCTGTAACAAATACAAACCTGGAACCAGGATTCCTCAAAAGGGAAAATGTGGAAGGTTCCCCGAAGCACTAATCATAAGAAAAACATATCTTACGGATACAAACAGCAACTGAAATTAACAGACTGAAATGATACCGTGCATACGTATAACAAATGAGATATAGCAGGAGGCCCAGGCTATATTCCCAACCCAATCATAGATTATAATGTCCCCAGGACTTTGTTCGGTAGAGGTTGAAGCTCCCAAAGTGCACTTTACTCTCACATCTACTAAATTAGGTTTCCTGACACGGAACAAAATTGCCCTTTGAGGCTGGGCAAATTGGGCGGAAATTTATGATGAGGGTCGTGAAGCATTTTAGTTGGAGTACCAGGATTGGGGTTTCCCTAATACAGCGGGCAAACACTCAGCCTAATGGCAGTGAAACTCTATCCTCAACAACATAGCCTCCTGCACCGGATTGGAAAAACCGTAAAGTGGATGTGATAGACTGTCTAAATCAACGCACTGCCGAGGAAATGATGGTAGATGAGGCAGCGTGGAAGTATTCTGAAGGAGTGAGTGGGGGGAGACATCTCTGTTTCTCTTGTCTCGTCAGAAATAGTCCGACTAGAATTTTTCTTTCCTTTGTGGAAGTCTCGAGTGGGAGGGTAGAGTATCCGGAGTTGTCCTAGTGAAGTGTCAATGCTGGTAAGGAATGAAATCGTCTTTGTTCCCAGAAAAAAATGAGGGGGCGAAAACTAATTTACCGCTAGATTTTTTTTAGGGTTACCCCAGACACTCAGTCCTATACACGCGTATACCAGACCTTCCGTTTACAGGATCCCAAAGTATGTGTATTGTCTCAACAAAGGGCATTTTTGAGGTTTAAAACCGGCTTGAGTTCCCCAGCATGCCAGGCTTCCATGCCGGCTGAGGAATTTCCTTCCAAACTTCCCGTTGGTGCCTGGATGTCTGGCCCAACGGCAGTTTTTGGAACGTTCCAGTCAGGAATTAGACAAGCAAATGGCTCAAAATGTCTGGTATGACAACAGACTGGTATCATGTCTGGTGATAACAGGCAGATATTGTGGTCTGGAATGGTAGGCCGCCAGATTGGCAACTATTCCTGTTACAAATCTCATTAAGGAACCCAAAATATCGCAAATTAGTTGGGAAAGGAGGAATGCATCCTGCAGTGTGGGAACCAAAACACTGCCGATTCTACAGAATGAATAAAGAATGGACTTCTTGTGAATTATGGAGAGCGGATTATACAGCGGATTACCGGTTTCTGCATTACTCGAGAACGAGGGAAACTGTTTGCATGAGAAAACGGTGAATGGATTGCTCATCAACAACTGTTGGTTTCATCACCATAAGCTGTATTCATTGCCCCAATCACTCCTCAGAGTCATCAAAATTCACAAGCCACTAATGACAGGCATCAATCACCTGCATTCAGCAACAGCTCACAACCTGACCATACAGCGACCCGTGTAATTGATATAATTGATACTTCATATATCCGATATTCCAACTGACATGCCGACAAGTATCTTCCCCCTTTTGGCGTCGTGTTTCTCCGACATTTTTCGTTCCTAAGCAACAGGACTACGCAATCAGGGATAGCGAATGAAGTCCTGGGATGCCATTAACCGAAAGTGGGGAGCGAGCTGTTATGGTGGATTGTTTTGATGCCCATTTTAAGAGCCCTGCGGACTGGAAAAACCTAACCGTATATAGCTCGGCTTAGCTGAACCAAGTCACCTTTTCCTCCAGGAGATCTTTGTGGGACAAAACCCAGGACTGTCGGCAGGCACCAGCTGGCATGTGTGAGGGGTAATACAGTGTTCATTAGGTAGGACAGCGGTTAATCAGAGTGGTACGCCCCTCCTGAGCACAGGGGCAATCAAGAAAATGAAATTACACCTACGGCAAAAAGGTTGCCTCCAGCATGTATTCATCAATCAGAACTTGGATCACGTTGGTGGGCCTTTTGTTTCGTTACATGTTCGATTTTACCAAACATACAGCACCAGTGTAATATGACATGAAAGTGCTATAGATAATATAATAGCAATTGGCATCCTCACACATGTATGAACATCACTGTATTAACGCAAATTTTTCATCTGATATTGTCTTATTTCTTTACCCCTCGCACAACTTGGGAGGTAAAAAGCTTCTTCAAAACAGCTTTCCTTACAAATTTGGTTCCTGCACTTTCACAAAAGGAAATCTGGGTCAGATGACACCAGCTGCAGCTATTTTTCTGGTAAGATCTGCTGCATATAGATCTATATCAGCAACACAGATATTATGCAAAAGATTCAAAAGCAGTGCCTTTATATATAGTATAGCAAAGTGGTAAGGTCTCGACCCTGACACTTAAACCTGTGTAAGAGTGTAAGAGCTTTTGTGTTCTAGAGCAGGAGCTGTCTCCAAGGGGAGACGAGGTGTTGAAAAGTTTCCCTAAACCTGAAAAGGCAACCTGTATGTACACTCCCAGCATCCCTTGGGAAGGGGTAGGGTTTCCCTCTTGTCCAAACACTCTGCCGCTAAATACTGCTTTTACATGTTATGGGTCAATCTGAGCAAAAATATGCCACAGTCCACGGGGACCCAGGGGGCAAGGTCAAGAGCAGGAAAGAAAAACTGGCAACAACCTTTTATATATAGAGCCAGTAACCATTCCAAACAAACCCAAAACAGCACGAGCAATGGAAAACACTGAATATGAAACATACTTATTTCACTAAAAAGAGCTTCCAAATTCACATGTTTCATTCCAAGAAGGAAAGAAACATACGGGTAATACAATCTGCATTTTGTGTCGTAAAGCTAGACATTTTTAGGATAAGATATGTGATAAACAAGCTACGAATGCCTTTGTTCTGCAGTTTTGAAATGGAAGACTACATTATGCAGTCAGGCTTTTGACAGTTGCAAAAGACTGTAAAAGGGGGGGTACAAAACACAGGAAATATGTGATGATTGCACAAGGACAGCGAGTGTCATCTCACGCCCACTCAAGCAGAACAAAAACTACTGCCAGTTGGCATGACAAAAACTACCGGCAGAAACTTTCTGTGGCCCAGCGAGTATCCCTGGATACCACAAGTGATATATGTCAACGAGAAGGCAGGAAATCAGTGATAATGGTGGTTTCGTAAACACCTTTGTTGGCCGGAAAAAAGGTTGACCACGAAGAACCTCTTCTTCTAGAACCCAGACATTACCATGCACATGTACCGTACTGGTTATTTTGACCACAGTTTTATCCCAAAATGACCACCTGTGGGGCTCACTATTGTTTTACATTGTCCTTCCCCATGTACAAGGAGCCAAAAAGGTGCTAAACGTATCAATGCAAAAAAAGGTGGGGACAAAGCAATACAATAAAACAATAGCAGGCAACACCTGGAAACACAATAGCAGGAAACAATAGGCACTTTACCTGGCTCCTCAGGTTCTCCAATGTTCTCTTCCTCCTGTCCTTGTTCTTCCTCATTCTCCCCCGAGATTCGCCGAGCCAACTCAGGTGATATCTTCGCTCGTCGCTGATACCACTCCTGCTTCTTCTTCACTGTGATGTTGCTGGGAGATCGCGGAGGAGATAACACTGCCCTAGCGTGAACCTCTCCGATTTTCCCCACCCTACCTTTCCGCTGTAACAACGGCGATTCGGCCATGTCGGCGGGGGCGCAAGACGAGTCGCTCTGCCAGGTCTTGTCGCTCTTCCAAGTCCCGGTCTCGTAATCAGCCCTGTCCGACTCGTTTGAGTAATCCTGCGGGTCGTTTCGTGGGTCGTCCTCATCAGTTCCTCCATCCATCAGCGGTCCATTCTTCTTAATGAATCCGTTCGGAGTGTGGCCCTGTCCCTCCGACCATAATGGCGCCGTGTTGTAGTCATCTTCATCAGACTCGTAGATGGGATTATGTTCAACGTAGGAGTCCCCCTGTATGTCGTCATCGCCCCACTCCTCGCGATCGGAGGACGATCTAGAGGAATGATGCTGTAAGGATTCTAGATGGTGGCTACGTAAAGAACGGTCTAGTTTGGTCCAGGTTAACGGAACTTCTGTAACACACGCTTCTCCCTCAGGACTTCCCCTTCCATCTTCTTCCTCTGGCTGTTCTTCGACTTCTTCAGCGACTGGAGTTTTGCTGCCATCATCTGTGGAAGCAGAACTGTCCCTTTGGCTTTGTTTGGCGGCTTTGGCCCTTTCTTCTTCCTCCTTTTCCAACGAGTTCAAAAGAAGGTCATACGCTTGGTGGTATGCTTCATCTAGTTTTGTTCTAGCCACGGCCAAATCCAGACGTGTTAGTCTCTTCCCAGAACAGAGGGCTTCCTTGATTTTCTCCTTGTCCTTGCTTGGAGGGGGGGCAGGGGGAGTCTTGGTCGGTCTCTTGCAGTCTTTGGGTATTTCCGGTAAGGGTTTCTCCTTGAGTGATGGCGGATTGAATAGGAACTTCTCAAAATCACTGAAATCGTCCGATATTTGGTCCTTCTGGAAAGGAATGCGGCGCTTGTCCTCCAGGGAACTAGAACGTTCCAGTCGTTTTGCCTTCTGACGTCCTGGAGTCTTTGGGCTTCTACTGATTCGCTGCGATGCACTTCTTCTTGGCTTGTTTGGCGTTCTAGTTGGATTTTTATTTTCAACTGCTAATTGGTCCCCTTTCTGTATGCCCCCTTTCACCGGGAGTGTGGCGTACTTCTGTGTCGTAACGTTCATAACTAATCGGGTGGGAATCTGCATGATGGCGACAACTTCCGCCAGCTTCATGTACGATACGTCTACGCTGTTCACGGTTAGAATCTCGTCCCCGATGCGAAGCAGTCCATACCGATCTACCAAACTCCCAGCCATAATTCGCGAAACAAAGATCCCATGGTCTCTATCAAGTCCATTTCCCTGTGGAGAAATACACACAAAAAAATCAGCCATCAAAGAAACAAAAACACAATTCTAAAACATCTATGCCCAACACATGTAGCTGAATAACTAAATATTGATGTTTCCCAAGCTGTCCCCTTGGGAGTAAAAATCAAACCCTGGAGGGTTTCACTTGAGTGGTTCAAACCTCCGGTCCCAATAAATGGATTCAACATGTTCGTTGTGGTCCCCTTTTTTTCAAGGAATGACTATCTAATCTAGTGTGACCATTCGTGGCTATGAACAACACATGTGGCAATACTGACCCTATCTAGAAATCTTATATAACACACTGCTGAATAATATAAAGCATAGTACCAATGATGAAGAAAGGAATGCAAAAGACGACAGTGCTGTTTGTTTGCTACAGTACCATATTATTTGCAACATGTGTCCTTGCATCTGTGTATTTTTCCAACACAGTAACGCTGCTGTTAACCGTTTTGTTTTTGTAAAGAACTGGGAGAAGTACAATAAAGAAACCCCACGCGTGTCCAAATATAGGCTAACGAATGATTCAAAAAGTTGACAATTCTTCACCGGTCCCTCTAAACTAGGTCATCGCAAAAATTTAGGACAAGGCCGTTAGAAACTGTACACAAACAATTTTCAAACGCAGCCTTACCTGTCTGATATAAAATCCCAGCATTTCTCCGGGTGCTCTGGTGAGTTCTACCGTCCGAACCAGGGCTGTCCCGTCGGCGATGGGCCGCTCCTCGGCCCCGGCCACCCTCCGTAGGCTCCCGTGGAGCACACGGATAAACATGTTCTCTGGAAGGACCTCCGGGCGGCGTTTCCCCGGGCTGCCTCTCGGCTCCTGCATCGGGATCTGCCCGAGAAACGTCTCCTGCTCCACCTCGTGAATCTTCCGCAGGATCTCGTCGGGAATGGGCGGTGGGGGAGGCCGGGGAGGTGGAGAGTTGGCCGGGATGTCCTCGGTGCTTCCGTCCGCTCCCGCCCGCTCTCGGACCGGCTCTGTCATGGTAAAGCGGGTCGGGGGGTTAGCTCGAGCACACGGTAACACTACACCTCGCCAGTTTTAGCGCAAATTTCGCCCTCCACCTCTCCATGCTATGCTATCATGATTACGAGCAGAGGGAAACTATTATAGACCAGAGGAAAGAGCGTAGGAAAACCCCCACGCCGCTGGCTCCCCGCGCTCAGCGAGCTTACGGCAAATTTGGGCAATTTTCAATTCCGACTTGTTGATTTCCAAGCAGGTCAAAGGTCAACGAACGAAGGACGAACCATTCGGTATTATTGTCAGGGTTGGGAAAACTGAAAGGAGTGCCATCCAAAACAATACCATATCATTCGCACGGCAAGATAAAGTTACCGAATTGTGCAACTTTGTAGCTCGAAGCTGCCAAAAGTTTTAACGAAGTGCCATGCAAATTAGTCTTGTCTAGCTTAGACAATTTATGCACCCTTTTTTATTGAGAAAGTGGCAAGGAGAACAATTGTAAGATTAACACTTTTTACAAAGTAAAGATATTCCGAGAGAAAACACGGTGCATAGATCGTTGCAAGGTATGCGTTATTTCATTCATAAACAAAAGCAGACCAATGATATGAATAAATGAATAGCCCCTAGGCTTTTGAAGTTGTCTTCAATCAATTGAACAATTTGGTTTACTGCCAATAAATGCCAATCCACTTCATGTCAAGCTGGCAAGGAAAATAAATAAAAACATCAACATAGATTTTCTAATACGACTGGACAGCAATCTTACCGCGTGTATATCTGGACCAATATTTGATCAAACAAATTCTGCAAGAAAACGTTTCTCATTGGCGCTACCTAGCGGACAGGTGATACACTGCAGTCCACGCCCCTCTATCGTTTTTGTCCCGGAAGTAGGGACATCGCGTGCAGTGGCGGTCACCTGGCGCGGATCGTGGTTTGTTTTGCGGTCGCCTGTTCAGCTAGCGTCACATCTTTACCGATATCTCCTATCACGGCCACAAATCGGCAGGCTTTGATGCATTTCCTTCCTCCACGACCAGAAAACAAAAAACCCCGTCATTAGGATTAAGACAACTTTAATTTATTTATCTGATTAGATAAGATAGAAAGGGAAACTATTGCCGTGATTGTGTGAAAAAGTAAAGACAACAACAATAGAGGCTAAGTAGAAATTTCTGTTTTGTTTTCCAAAATACACTCTTTTGAGTCATGACACCGCACCTAAATGGAATTTGTCCAAACAACACCTTTGCCTGTGGATTATAACAAATATGGCGGTTGGAACTTTGTGGATTTAGCTCTGTAAGTCCCCTGCTAAAACACACGCGACCTTTTGTACAATTCTATCGCGATGAAATCCACAACAATACTGGCTGAGATGCCACGCCTGGTGCCGAGGATTTGTAAGCTTGACAAAGGTATTAATTAGCATTTTGCAGCACTTGGCATGTCAATATTGACAAAACCACAGGAAATTCGCACCAGAGGAAAATCTTATGATCTACCAGCAACTCGATATTTGGAACGGAAAAAGTTCTTGGTGACCATGGTTCTTGTTTGGTTTTACATACCAAGGATTATTCTACAGGTTATTCAACCTCGGAGATTCAACCCTCAGACAAAGGAGCCGCAGGGACCAAACACTAATCCGAAAAGAAACAATCCGGTATACTGGGGGCTATTTTGGTACACGTGAGCACACAGGTGAAATAGTGGTCAGACTAGGGATTGGGGTTGAAAAAAACGTATCCCTTTGAAGTTTACAGATGAAGACAAATTGTGATAGTGGACACATCTAACAATGTAGCGTTAGATCTACACCTTGCGTTTTCGTAGCTATAACGTTACAGTTTCCATGACATTGGATTATGATGATTTTGTTCAGGATGGTACGATATAGGGTTACAGGATGTCAATCTTTTGTTGTATTTGTATATAGCCTGAGATCGGCCTTGTTTGTCGATAGTCCGTCACTTCCATATGTTGGGATGGGGGGGGTCTACATAATGGTGGATTTGAAGACAAGGAAAATCAAAATCTTTCCCCCCTTCTTTCATTCAAATACTAGTATGTACTGCGACATTTCAACTCTTTGTTTCTTTGCAAAGCTTGGACGGTTTTCCTATATACCACAAATCCGATATTTTATGCCTCAATATTTTTGCAGTCACGTCGTTTAGAACATTTCGACCTTGTGACAAGTTTACCCAGCATGGGTTAGGTTGTTGAAGGTCTTTCACATCCAGGCGAAGTTTTGACACATTGTCACCTCACGTCCCGACACAACCTGACAGCTGGGTTAGTTGGTAACACTATACCCAACTCCCAACCCTGTTCGCGTGTCAAGCTAGGTACCTACGGCTTCAAGGAAGATTAAAAACTAATCTTAGCGCAGAGAAGAAATATCTCAACAACACAAGGCGATAGTTCGGTAAAAATCCTGGGATCCAAAACAGACATAATACAGAGATAGCACATAGATCCGATATGGGTTTGTTTTAGCTTGTAATAAGATTGGGGGTCTTTGTCAGTGAGTCTTGGGGTCAGTGTCGATTAATCTTAAAGGAATGCTTCGAAGGAACGTCCTTGAACAGGATACCTCAACTTAGTTAGGTACCCAGTCAGTCGGAGATATTACTGGCACAAATTAGAAAATGCTTGACAAATTGAGCGAACACTACTCCAGCTTTCTTGCCGTCCTGGGGGATGTATCGTTAGGTCATGTGAGCTCAAGCGGTACGAACATGCATCATACCCAAAGGTATTAAAAATGGCAAACCCTGAAACAAAAGACTCTATATTCAGATTAATTTGGAGTTTTAGGACTGTCTATAGCATATATGTTACAACGTACAGTATGTCAGGAAGAAGTGATCATGAAAACTCACAAGGCGCGTCCTTGGCGAAGAATATCCTGACAGTCAGTGTCAACAGAGAAGGACGAAACCTCGAATATTCCCAAACTGTCCAGTGCAGTTGCTGGGAATCTGTGAACTGAAATTCCCAGCTCTAAACCATCACGGGATCCATCCCCAAGAAGAAACGTCTTCACCCAACAACCTCCTCGGAGACAATAGCTTCATTTACAAGCAAAACAAACAATTAAGACGACGTGGTCCTACTTGCGGCTACCCGAGAGCTGCCCAGTGAGTGACCGTCAGGCCCGGCCAGGTTTGGACAGACGGACAGCACGTGTTCGGGAATTCTTCTGGGGATCCCCGAAGTTTGCTCGGTCAATCACCCTAATTTGGCCGCGCAATCGAAGAAGGAGGGGTCTTCTTTCTCTCTCCTCCTCGGCACGTAAGAACGAAGGCTGTGTTTTTAATCAGAACTTCGTGTGGTACAGAAAACGGGATTGGGATGCACTTGGTGAATTTCCCAAAGGGGAATGAAAGGAATTAAAGTTGATTTTTTTCTAACAGTCTGGGAAGTGAAAGACTTATCGTGCCTTTCCATTGTTACAGACAGAGAAACAATTTCCAGAAACAATAGTGTGCCTATTTGAGGATTTTTACGTTTTTCTATTACATTATTACCTTGATCTTAATAAGGTGTATGTACCGGCACAGAAGAGCAAAACTTGACATCTTTTAATAATCTGGGAAGTGAGACATTTATCGTGCTTTTTCATTGTTACGGACGGAGAAACAACAAATATACCAGAAACAGTAGTGCACCTATAGTAGGATTTTTACGTTGTTCTACCTTTCTTGGTCATAACAAAGTGTACCGACACAGCAGAGCAAAACTTAATATCATTCGTCTTGTACGAAACTGATCGTAAAAGAAACGGGCTTTAATCATGCCTTCTGCCCCTCACAGTTAACCAAGCGGCCCTTAATTAGGTCCCGGCAGCTGTCGGCATGGTAATGAAAGCAGTGAATGACATGGGAAACCAAACACGACAACATGGAGCTGCCCAGGCTTCAAAGACGAGAGCGACAGCTTTTGAAGTGCCCAGTGTGATCAATACATCACTGGCTGACTGCTCATCACTCAGGCTCTGTCAAGTGGGGGCAGTCATGCAGTGTAACAGGCTCTCGTAGTACCAAGGGAAACTTTTAGTATGATAATCTCCAAGCAGATCCTTCGGTGAGGGTAAGACAGTATCAAATCAGCCAGCCTGTGTATCGTCGGTGGGGAGATGATACAGCCTGGCCAATTTGATACTACCTTACACCCACCGAAGGATCTGCTTGGAGATTATAGTATGATACAACAAGTGTTAGCCTCTACCAGGCTTCGGGAGGCGTAGACTCTACCCTACTCTGCTCTACTAATTATAACTTATAATTAGTAGAGTAGAGTAGGATTGACGAAAGGGCAACGTGTTATCCACTAAATCTAATAATTAGATGATATAGAAATGCATATTTTGTGTAAAGGTTTTGCAAATACTAGGAGATAACTCTAAGGGCCCCATATAAAGTCACTGGGGAGAAAAGACAGCCTTCGCATTCAGGGCCATTCAATTAGATTAAGATCAAAGGGCTGTAAGAACTTAATATGGATACTTGTCTGTATTTGCGTAGTTATGAGCAACGTAAAAAGAATCTGCTCTCCTTTGTTGAAGTTCGCTTTAGTGATGCTAGGTGGCGTACATGAGTGCTTCACTTGAATACGGATACCCGATTCAAGTTACAGTCAGTTTGTATCAGTTTGCTGTTTTGCAATTGATGGAATAGTCCTGAGTGCTTTTTTACGATAGCATCTCTGCAAAAATATATTGCGTTAGATCGTGCAGATGACATTCTCGGTTTCTTCCCAAATCCCGCGGCGATATAACTTAGGACGCACGTTAGACAATCCCCTTGTTGTGAAGACCAGCACGCTTTATAAAATCAATGACGCAGTGGTGAGTGACAGGACACCGTGACCCCGGCTTACGGCCGAGTCTGCCGGGTCCAGTTTACAACTGTTACCTGTCAGGCGCTGTCCGACTCAACACGTCAGGTCGATACGAGATCAAAGGAAGCCGCCCGCCCACCTGAGAGCACCTGACGGCCCTCCCTCGTCACCTACAGACCACCAACGTCTTCTCACATTTCTTGAGATATTTCAAGACGATACTTAATCTCTAATAAGTGTTCGATTGTTCGATTATTGTTTGTTTGTTGTTTGTTTGCTTGTTTATATCTAAATGGCAAACATCGTTTCGTCTATGAATCATGGAAGGCAGGTGGAATTTTTCAGTACATCACACTGAATCTGAATCGGTGTAGCCGGTACGCCGGTAGAACCGTTCGGCGTAG